GGAGTTTGGAACTGCCTGAAGCTTAGAAAGGACGAACCAGGGTCTAACTGGGGTCTTGGTGAAGGTGGTATCAGATGCGCAGGTGTGAGCTTTGCCTCTTCTAGTCACTCACTTGTGAGTCCTTCAGACTCTACTGCCTGTGCCTGTGGTCTTCCTGGGGAAGGTTATTCTCCGCGAGCAGGCGTGACCGTGGAGGCAGCACTGCACCGGTGGTTTGGGCAGAGACGTCCAGCCACCTGGATTAGCTGACTCATCGTGGGTGTCAACAGGCCACCGTCCCTCAGCCCGATGGTCCTGGAACCGCCCCCCCCCCCATTCACTGGTACTTAGGAAATCATGCTGCTGACCTATTTTTCCTTCTGCATTGTTTTACTAAGCTCCAATGAGTGGAGTGTTTTGAAGGCTCCTCACTTTTTAAGCCGTTCTGTTCTCAGAGCAGAATAGTCCACACTGTTTCATTCTGTGCCTTGTTTCAGCACGACCACTCAGTTATAATAAACCTTCCTCTCCTGGAAAGCAGATTCTTGACTGCTAACCTCTCTCCATTCCAACTGACTTTTTGCCAGACTCTCCTCTCCATCTAGATTCAGACCTCAAACCCTCCTCTACGGAGTCTCAAACTAAAAACAGAAGATTTGGAAAGGGAGTGCAGTTGAAAAGAGCATGAACTTTGAGGGGAGACAGACCAAGGATGAATGAGAGATGAACTGGACACGGGCAGTGGATGTCAGATTCGAGGTCTTCCATTCCCACCCGGCGGGTCAGATCTGTGTGTACACAGTTAGGATGCCAGAGAGGTGAGAGAAGAGGTTCAGGTAGGACGTGGGGAGAATTTAGAGGCAGGAGAAATGTCTCCCAGCTAAGGAAAAGGAAGGGATTTAGGGGAGCGCCTGTGGCTCAAAGGAATGGGGCGCTGGCCCCATATACCGGAGGTGGCAGGTTCAAACCCGGCCCCAGCCAAAAACTGCAAAATAAATAAATAAAGATAAAAATAAAAAGGAAAAGGAAGGGATTTATGAAACAGGTGGCTTTGAGACCTAGCTTTGTGCAACAAATTCTGCTTCACTCGAGCCACTAGTTTCTAAGTGTGGGGTGTAGGTGTAGAGGGTTTTTTCTCTTTACTCACGCCTTAGAGGATGCATAGACCGTTTGCTTTGCCCGTGTTTTCTTGTTTTCCAAGTTGAAGCATCTGTTAAATAGCTGTTCTCTTCCCTACCTTCATATTCATTTCATAAAGACTAACTAACTCCCGCCTTGAATACGCACCTTGCTAAGAAATAGTAACACAAAGATTTCTGTAATTTGTGATCCTCAAGTCTGGGGAGTGGCCCAGGGCCTGTTAGGAATGGGGTGCACAGCAGGGGGCCAACCGGGGAAAGAAACCTCAACCGGGGTCCGGGCCCCCGCCCCCCAACCCGGGCCCCCCGAACAACCCCCCCCCGCCCAACCCCCCCACCCCTGTCTATGGAACAACTGTCTCCCATGAAACTAGTTCCTATGCCAAAAAAATCTGAGACCACTGCTCTAATATATCAAAGGATATTTTCTTTTCTCCAAGGAAACATATATAAAATTACATGAAAGGTATCAGCTGACCACGCTGGTGCAAATGTCCTCTGATCTGGGACCAGAGGGGGTGGCCATTTGCAGGGTTACTGGAGGAGAGACCTGTGGGCCTGTTCTACCATCTGCTGTGCTGCCCTTACGAATGTTGCTGTTCACAGGTCCAGCAGGATATCACGGCCTCATCAGCCCTCCTCGGGCTCCACAACTTGCAGAACAGATATGCTAAGTAATTTGGATGTCAAAAGTTTTCCATAGATTGAGTACTGATTTTTGAAGGAGTAATTCATAGTGAAATAATTAAAGCCAACTTGCCTGGCCAGGTGCATTGGCTCACACCTGTAATCCTATCACTCGAGGAGGAGGAGGCAGGTGGACCCCTGAGTTCAGGAGTTCGAGACCAGCCTCAGCTAGAGTGAGACCCCGTCTCTACTAAAAATAGAAAAACTAGCCAGGAGTTGCGGTAGGCACCTATAGTCCCAGCTACTCTGGAGGCTGAGGCAGGATTGCTTAAGCCCAGGAGTTGTGAGTATGCCACAGCATACTACTGAGGGCAACAGAATGAGACTCTGTCAAAAAATAAATAAAGTAATCCAGGTAAGTACAGTGTAGATACTCCATTTATCATACTCATCCTCCTGTATGTACCCCTGGAAAATAAACTTCCAATTAATTAACTATAACATTTAATATGTAATGATTCAATGGAGGAAATGATTCATGTGTGTTAGAATTTTAATGGAGTTGATTTTTTACCAAGTTTTAGGATTCTGCAGAAGAAAGTCATGAAAGAAAGCAAGTTCCCCTTTCAGTGGTTCCACCAGAGTTTGTCAAGAGGTATCCGCATGCCAGGCCTGGTGCTAGGGAGTTGATTTCAGAAGTAAACAAGATAAATGCAGTTTCTTTTCTCAGCAGTTGAATCCTGTGCAGAAAATAATCAACTAGCTCAGTGAGACATTTTTGGCTGGAGGTAACAGAATAGCTAATTCAAAGTGGCTGAAACAATAAGGAAGTTTATTAGCTCTCACAGAAAGTGGCAAGAGGGTAAGGTTGAGCTCCAGGTGTGCTGGTCTAATGTCCAGCTTTGCCATCAGAGAACCTGTTCTTTCCACCTCTGTCTGTGTCCTGTCACCCACTGTGTCAGCGTCATCTTGAGGCTGGTTCCCTCGTCACCGGCACATAGTTTGCCTGTGGAAATTTTGGCTTCATGCTTTCTTGTTAATTTGGAAAGATGGGGACTTCTTGTGGCTCTGTTAAGATTAAAGAACGTTGCCGCAAGCTTCCAGCAAACCTCTCTTTGTCTTATTGTCCAAAGCAGACCAAATCCGCTCCCGGCAAAAAGAACGAGACCAGCCTCAGGCAGTCAGGCCTCCACCTAACACGGAGAGTGGGTCCCAGCCCTCCCCTCACTGTGTGTGTGAGCAGCAGGGATGGGTGGGCTGGGGGTGGGGGGTTCTGCTAGGAAGGAAGGGACAGGAGAAGCCACGTCCATTACAAGAAGACGAGCCCCTGCGGCTGACCGCACGGTTTGGGGGAGTGAAGAGTGACGGATTTCCGTTTCCTTTTTGCTGTCCCGTAGGATCAGAGTGGCACGGAACCTCTTAGTGAGGAAGACAGCAGCCTTGAAGTGGGCACTAAACAATTGCCTGGACGTGGAAGCTCCGACCCGGTGAGAATCCTGGGCGTTTTCACCCTGTTCTTCTTAGGGCAGTATCGCTTACACTTTGTCTTTGCTTCTCTGAGGATCTC